AACCAAGTTGTTGCCCGCAGGAGCTTTTTTCGCTGTTCAACTGTTCAGTTTCACTGGAACAAGGGGTCTACTGGACTTCTTATTGTTTCCCAAGCTGATGTGGATAAAACCAACCAGAGTTACTACGGTGAAACCAAGTTGCACTACTTGACAACTGATAGGGCCTTTGAAGGAATTGTTCCTCTCAGTAAGTTCTTAGTTTTTGAAATTCTTCACAAGGCTATTTTTTAAAGTCTGGTCACTAATTCTATCAGCAATTTGCAGAAAAGGAGGGGCCAGTGCATGATGTTCAGTGGTCTTCTTCAGGTTCAGAGTTTGCTGTGGTCTATGGATGTATCCTTACTCTTACATGAACCATAATATTTCAGATTTAATGTCTTGCTGTTTTCTGCACAAGTGTTCCTTGACTGAAACTCAGTTATGCCTGCCAAAGCAACAATATTCAACAAAAAATGCAATCCTCTTCATGAGCTTGGTGAAGGCCCTTATAATACGATAAGATGGAACCCCAAAGGGCGATGTATCCTTGCAATGATTTGATCAGCCAGTCGTGCTGTGTTCTCTGGTTCGAGTGGGTGTATATATATAGGGTTGCTAAAGTGCGCTAGAGCGCATTACGATTATAATGCGCTCCGACCCATAGGAGCACGGGCGGGTCACATGTCCTACTCAGCATAACCACCTATTTTTCTTGTGGAGGATAGTAAAATCACAAGAAAGTATAGTAAAAGAATTAATCTTATTACTGATGCATCTGTACGTTCTCCGTCCCACCATATAATTTAGCTACATAGTAATGATCTATGGGGGAAATAGTAACAACATTAATTGGGTTACTGCTTATGCACCGGTTCAGTGCCCATGGACATTTTTCCTTTTTTATTTGATTGCTCATAATTTATTTAGTGTTTTCCGCTCTATACAAGATATTTAGTTAGGACACAACGAATTACTACTAGATCCAACTATATTTACTAGATTCTCGTTTTTTTTTACTAGAAATAAGGTCTAGATGGTAATGGTTTTGATTCTATTACTATGATAGACGGATTACTACATAACCTAATTATTTTACTACCAAACAACTAAGAAAGAAAAATGGTGCAGATTGAACCGATGCAAGTAGTAGTAATGACAGTTAATCTATTACTATGACGAGCGGGAACTTGTGTGTGCAGCCTGTAACGTAATTAATTCTGTTACTTTTTTTCGGATGGCCCATTACTATGTGTACTAATTTTCTAGCGAGACGAGGAACCAGTGGGTGTAGCCGTAATCGATTAATTCAGTTACCATATCTGCCACGTATTTTTACTACCTTAAGAAAATTAGGTGCGTGTGTGGGTGGTCCGTGTGTACTGGCCGAACGGCGCGTGATACGGCCGGAGCGTAGAATTAGAGTTCTACGCTCATGCTCGCTTTAGCATACACACCCTTTGTTATAGTATAGTTATTAGCATAGCAATATGCGTCTAGCAAATTATTAATGTTATTTCTTTCGTGTAAGAAAAAAATCATGTTTAGCTTGGTGATATCCTTAACCCAAGTTTGTTCACCAGTTATTGTTATAGCTGGATTTGGTAATTTGCCTGGTGATATGGTATGTCATTCCGCTAAAATTTGTAGTAGGCAATAGCCTTAACAGTTAGAATGAGTGAACATTCTGACTGGGGAAGTCTTATGTGGTTTAAGAGAACCTATGACAAACTATAAAGCAAAAAAGGGCATCTTTTAATATTTCTAGGACAAACTATAAAGCAAAAAAGGGCATCTTTTAATATTTCTTCAAGTGGTTGCCACATAGCTCACAGGGTATTTTTTGTCCAGGCTTTCTGGGATTATTCAGAAAAGAAGTTGATACAGAAAGCAAAGGCTGAATGGTCTGTCATAAGTGAATGGTCCCCTGATGGTCGCCATTTTATGACTGCTACAACAGCTCCAAGGCTTCAAATAGATAATAGGTACATTTCCTGCAGCTTTAGCATGCTAGTGGAAATGGTTTAGGATCCTTGCATGATTATCTTATATTTCCTGGTGCAGAATAAAAATATTTGACCACACTGGATCTCTGCAGTTTATAAAGGAATTTGAAAAACTGTATCAGGTACGTCGACAGCATATAACCACTTCTCTGTTATCTGTACCCCATTGGTCCTAAACAATTAGTAACGTGTTGAAGAAATATATATGCAAGCCCTCACATTGCACTCATGATTGTTGCTTTTCAATTGTGCAGGTTGACTGGAAACCAGAATCTCCTGAAAGATTTGTTGACATTGCTGAGCTCACGATATCTTTGAATGGCTTAAAAATTGAAGAAACAAAGAAGCAAGGTTCCAGTATTATCTTATGCTCCATGCTAGCAAGTCTGGACAAATTATTTTCTCCTATTGACTTGTCTAGTTTCAGGACAAGGTTCTAAATCGGCACAAACATCAAGCAAGGCAGCAAAACCTGCAGGAGCATACCGTCCACCTCAATCAAAGCACACTGCAGCGCTTCAAGACAAGGTAAATATGAGAGATACATCAAATTCTAGTTATCCTGAAATGCTGGGCTTGCTATCACAAACTATAGAACGAATCACATCTGTTATACGCATCACTGACCATGTGCTGATCAAATATTGACATTTTGTGGGGAATCAAATTTTGACTTCATTTGCTCGCTTGCCACTTTATACATACCGAAGGGTACGGTGCTGTCTGAGCACACTTTGCAGACTTCCTCATAAGAATTGGGATCTTTGATATGTGGACTAGAATGTCGAAAGAACAGAAAAAATGTGATGCCAAAAAATCATATGAATAATCATGATGGGCATCCTAGGATGAATCCATTCTTCAAAGCGATCTTGCTAAGTGTACCAGTAAATGAATAGGTGCCAGGTTAATAAAACCCAAACTGTTTCCGCCTTCCTCTCGAACTGAGCTATTTCTGGTCGCTCCTGAAGTCCTGCAATGCAGCACACTGCATGTGCATAATGTTGTGGTCAAACAGTAATAGCCTAGTCTTTGAGAGCACATATATATTGCGGGAAGATGTCCCACCAACTCATTTATTACCTAGAGAAACGAGTCGACATTTGGCATTTGTTTGTTTATTCCTGCAGAGTATTTTTAATATACTAGAAAAGAGTATACCATTGCTGCCTGCACCCGCAGGTTAGATTACCAGCATGTGCAATGACATTACGCATTCTACGACATTTCACTGAAATAATACTGTTTGCTGGTTCATGATTTTGTATCGTAACCTGATTACAGCGTTAATGGATACCGTCAGGTTAGATTACCAGCATGTGCAATGACATTACGCATTCTACGACATTTCACTGAAACAATACTGTTTGCTGGTTCATGATTTTGTATCGTAACCTGATTACAGCGTTAATGGATACCGTCAGATCTTGTTTGTTTTGGTTGCTCTGTAATCCCATAACACGGTATTAGACAAGCCTAGTACAAATTTGTTACCGGTCGAAATCATCCGTAATGAAAAGCCGCTATAGTCCCCCCTCGCTTTCTTCTCTGCGATTTATGCTGGTTAAAGCGTCGCTGTCGCGGTGCCACCGCCACCAGCCGTCGACGACCCGTCATTGCAGGCGCCGCCGCAACCAGTCGCTGTCTTTGCAGCCACCGTCGCTGCTGCAAGCTGTTGGCCTCGCTACAATTCGACATCTCCCCCAAGACACGAACGATGTGTCCTCCTTCCTCGCTCCCCATGCGCGGTAGGGAAGCTACAGTGCTACACTGGTGTTCCCTGTGTCCCTTCCTTCTCGGCTTGGACCTGGACACCATGCTTCCAGCTGGTGGTTACGTCGTCCTCGGCTGATACATACCAAACTCTAGTATTCATTAATGTTACAACGTAGGTAGCCAAACAAAATATGATCTTTGCCCATACCATTTACGTTAGATTTGCGTTTGCATTACCAATCTGGAACCAAACACTTAGTTAATTATTATTTTGTACTCTGTATGTTATACTACCTGCAGCACTCTCTGTTCGTAGTTCAAGTGGGTGAGAAAGCTCTCATTGCTCTTATATCATATACTGACTTTCCACATTATTTTGTTGAATCGCAGCTTTTCGGTGGCCTTGCTCCTACCGGGTCAGTTTCTTCATCACGGCCTGCATTTTCTTGTTTTTATCTTATGTCACTTTTGGCTCTATGCAACTCACCAACCTTGGAAATGAAACAGAGGAGAGATGAGCAAAACTGCATTGAGAAATAAGAAGCGGAGGGAGAAGCAGAAGGAGAAGAAGGCTGGGGAAGGCTCTTCCGCTGATGACAGCTGATCCACTGGCTTGTTTTGGCATTTTTCGCTGCTGAGTGAAATTCATAGTGACGAATAGTTCCTTCATTCCGAAGAAGAAATGGCTATGCATCTTGTGAATGAGAAATGACGCTTTCCAGTTACACTGTAATATGTGAGACTCGAGTCAGAGGCACAAGAATGACCATAGAATTTTACTCGACTTTTCGCGCCGAACGCACGGACAGTTTGTGTAACTATATCACAGAAAACAGTGGAGCTATTTTATTTTGTTTGTCAGATGCATGTATTTTTTTTTCTCCTAGGAAACACATCAGCAGCTCTGGTTATTCATTAAGCTGTAGAGAAGTGCCGCCACAAGACACAGAAAGAAGTCAACACAACCGCCCTGAGGTTTCAGGAAACGATCACATTGCCCCCTGAGCTTTGAAACCGGCTATTTCATCCCCTGGAGTTTGCAGAACTAGATAAAGCACCCACTGGGAGCTTTGATCTGCTCCGACGAAGAGAGAAGTCGACGCAGCCTTGCGTGCATGGAAATGACCATCACTGGACTATGACATTACACGCCACCCAGCGAGCAAGACCGACGACACCCACAAACATTTTTTTTAAATGGACACCCACACACATTCGTTGACAGCATCGCATCCCTATTCTTTTCAGGCAATACTTCACAGCAGCAAGAGCGTGAGAAACAGATAGATGGAATACATTACATCAGGAACTCGTTAACTGGTCTTGAAACATTGGTTCATGATATTCATTGCACAGTGGTACTAATCTTCCATGTTCTTTTCTTGTATTAGAGGATTGTAAACCAATGCAAAGGATGCCAACGACATCCAAGGACCAAGTGCTTAGATAAATATTCAATTTAGCCACATTGGTTCTCATATGGCTTTTACAGTTTCGATCCATCGCAAAATAGGTGACCAGCCATGACCTACATCTGATTAGCAGGCTAACCATCATAAATAAGGAATAATCGGTCTCTTCGACTACAAAATTTCCAACAACTTATACCCACATTCAAATACTTGACAAACCAGAGACAGAAATACACGCTAACCAACAAAGAACAACACCATCTGCCCCGTCAGGAAACTCCATCCATGTAAAACCTTTGCTCCAGCCAAGAAACGCAGCCAGTACCCATCTCACCCACACAACATCCATATTCTTTCAAGTGTCAGAAAAGGACGGTGGAACGCCAGAACTAAGACTTCTGGGCATGTGGACGCCAGTTCCCTCTGCAAAGCTCCTCCATAAGATGAACAAACTTTTGAGGCTGCTGCCACCACATGGGTTCCGTAGCAGCTGGCCTTTCGTACCGCTCTTCTTGAGAGCCCTCGTTTTGCATGAATTTCTCCGAGAAATTGCGCCATTGTTGCATGGAGCGCTTCAGCCGGGCAGTTCGCTTACCAGTAACCAGATATCTAGTGTAGTCCCTCGCAAGACGGTACAGCTCCTCCCCTCTGATAATATGGATGTACTGCACACCATCACACAAAAATACAAGTGATTTAGATTAAAGTCACGAGTGCTTAATGTTAAGGATCAAGCTAAGCACAAATACACAACTATGAGACTTTGTACAGGTATAAAGGTCACTTGTTATTCCCATATTGCATGTGGAGGATGCAACCTATTCATACACAAGAAACTTACTTCATAAGCACATGGTACGCAGTACATAACTAACACACAATCTTCAATACAACCCGAACCAAGTAAGCAACCAGCAATGAACTAAAATCTTTCAATACAACCCGAACCAAACAGCGACCAGCAATGAACTAAAATCTTTCATTACAACCCGAACCAAGCAAGCGACATGCAATGAACTAAAATATTTCAACCTGAACCAAGCAGGCGACTGGCAATGAACTAAAATCTTTCAATACAACACGAACCAAACAGCGACCAGCAATAAACTATCTGTCAACATACAGCGCTTGATGACTAAAACATACTCATAGAAAACTATTTTGGTACAAATGATCCGATGCTGGTTCTAATCACAAGGAAAATGCTAGATGGCACAGTTATTGTACTAAAAACTAACTATATAACAAGAAATTTCCTAAAATATAACCTAATTATTTGCTGAATAGCCATTAATCATTATAACATAACTAGAAAGTGGAGCTACACTACAGTTTACAAATCAGGAGCGGTAAATGCAAATAAATAGCATTCTGAAAGAAAGGATAAACACAAGAAGAAAGCAGTGATAGTTACCACAAGTATAAAAGCAACAGTTGCTAAGATAACTTGGACTACTTCATCCAATGATTCCTTGAATGATTCATCTTCTGGGCCACCGGAACCACCATTGCCTCCACGCCTGTTTCCATTCCCTCCACCTCCACCAGATGCTTGTTCTCTCAGCTTGGTGAATTTCTCTTTCAGCGCATCTTGTATGGGTCGTGGCTTTTTTGCATCAGCCATGGCCTTCTTCAAATGATCCATAAAGGGCTGTAACAAGGCAACAAACAAGTTAAGCAGACTGTCCTGCCACACTCCTAATAGAAACCAAATCAAATGTATGTACATGCACCTTTCCAGCACAAATCATACGGTGCATAAATTGAGAATATAGAACTCTAGTGCCCCATACAGCTAATGTTTACTTCTATGACCAAGCCAGACCATGCACCTAATTAGAAACCCAGAATATTGTTTGAATATGAATACAAAACTGTGTCTGTTACAATAACTTGGATGGTCCCACATAGGCTCTATTCTGATCAAATAAGCAATCATCAGTTTTTTTGTCAAAACAGAGAAATATCAGACACAAGCAAAAATAGCCTTTCGACCAACCAAGATTACATGAGTTAAATATCTTAGTTTCAGGAGCATGCCATAAGCATGTTTTGGGAGAAGGTGGAGCAAGGTTGAAACAAATAATGACAGATATGTTAGTTCGCTTTGAGAAAAGAACAATAGCATTCATGACTATTTTATGGGTTTAGACACATACTCTCATCATGCATAATCAAGCATAGAAACACGGAATATGCTTACATCATTGTCAATCTCAGGGTTCCCTTTTCCACTTGAGGCGCATACAGGAGTAAGCCTAGGATGGCTAGCAGCAACAAGAACAAGGCGTGGGTAGATATGCTTATCAAGCTTGCGAAATCCGAGAGGACGTGACCGTAGGGAATACTGGGGAACAGGTAGTAATCTGCAGGTCTTCCCAAGACCCGTTATGGGTCTGTCCACAATGAGCCCAGTATGAGGCTTGCAAGTTGTAGCTTGGAAGTAGCTCATGGTTTTCTTTTGCTTGAATCGCCGAATTCACCAAAGACAAGCCTGTAGATTTACAGACAGCGTGAGTTTTTTCTACGGAACAATAAATGAAGTAGGAGCAATAAACCAATCCATGTTCTTGTATTCACCATAGTTCAATCATACAAGTGGAAACATATTCAAATCTATACTCTATACCTACTAATAAAGGGCGGTGATATGCTTGGTCTGTCACGCACTTTCTTACAAAAAATCCCTGATCTATATGAGAATCAACCCGCAATACCAAGAAAACGATTTGCCAAAATAAAATAAAAAAGATTAATATTTAGCAAAGCACTGCTTCGGGCCAATTCGTATATTGATACAAAGGTGTTTCGAGCCAGGATCGAACTCACAACCTAACCTCCCCGTCAACAACTATATACAGCCAACTGGGCCAGTTGTTGGTTGTGCTATAACAGACTGTTCGTTTGATAATTAATAGTCCCACCTCGCTTCTTTACATAAATTTTTCATAACTTAAATATGTTGGGGACTTCCCTACAGAATTAAGGAGGCGCCTTGAGAATAAACAAAAATAGGTGTGAGTCCCGGCATGGGGAACGAAGGAATTTAACTTAACCGGGTGGCTGCACGCTCCCTATAAGAAGAGAAGACTCAATGATGAAACAGCAGGTGCCTATATAAAGAGAGAGACCCAGTATAGAATGAAACAGACCCAAGAAGGAAACGGGCGTGTTCATCAGTTCCTATGAAAGGAGAGGCCCAATACAGAATGAAACAAGACCAAGAAACAGCATGTGTATGTGCCTATAAAAGAGAGACCTAATAATAAAGAATGCATTGGTTATCCATGCAATGCACAGAGAGAATGCTCCTGCTCACGCATGCATTGGTGCCTATAAGAATGCTCCTCCAATCAGCGAACGCTATGCCAACGAAGACCGGGAAAAAGACAGCAGAGATAATTAAGCCAAGCCGGGCCTAATAATAATAAATCAGGACTCCTCCACTCCGTGGCCCTCCGGCCATTTAAAACCCTATAAATAAACTAACAGAAATCCACATGCTAGATTTGTACCAAGCAAGCATAATTCATGTGTACTAACGGAAATCCACGTGCTAGATTTGACAATGAAGAAATCATAATGTTGAAGAAAAAAGTGTAGCTTTATTACCAATTAATCGGTTGAAAATCTAGCATAAACACTAGCCACAATATCAACGCAGTTGTTTTCTACTAAATAAACTAATGGAAATCCACGTGCTAGATTTGCACCAAGTAAGCCTAATTCATGTGTTCTAACGGAAATCCACGTGCTAGATTTGACAATGAAGAAATCATAATGTTGAAGAAAAAAGAGTAGCTTTATTACCAATTAATCGATTGAAAATCTAGCATAAACGCTAGCCACAATATCAACACAGTTGTTTTCTACTAAAGCAGACTGGATTTAATAGTAGTCATAAAGATCATGTGGACTAGGCAATAAGTAGTAGGATGAAACATGCTTCTGTTTTTTTTTCTTCCTCTCTTTCCAATGGTTGCAGAGAGTAGCTCATGGAGGGCGGCACTCACGTCGAGCTTGGCGAGATTAATTTCTAAAGCTCTAAGCATCCCCTTGCGCTAGCGCAGTTCAATGACAGGTGTGTCGCACGATGGCCGAGCTCATCATCTTAAGATTGACAACGTTCGGATGTGTTGTCATGGGGGGTGAGGGGTCTTGACCATGCTTATTATTGCACTACGTCGCTAAGATATTAATTCTCCCGTTGCAACGCAGGGGCATGTTTGCTAGCAAGAAGCAAAGTGGAAATACATCGAGGTTGTGAATCTATTGACGGCTTCAATTTCATCAGATAATCTTGAACAAGACAATTTCTCTTCTCCAGATGGTAGATAAAAGCAAATGCATAAGATGCAATCTTGTGGTTTAATAACCACCTTGAGGAAACATTTAGCGTGGTTCTCACAATCTCAGATCTGGATGTACGTAATGCCAAATGCCAAAAATTTAATACGGAATCCACAACTAAACATGCACTACCTTGCTCATGCTCAAACCAACTTATGGAAAACCACAAGTTAAGTGGATAAAATTCTGCCTCAGGAATGATGGCGCGGAACGACTAAAGATATGCGGACACACAGCTACAAGGAATCTCTCGTCCCTTCCCATACAACAGAATGAACCTTCTCCGGGAACTCCGTCATCACAAATCACATGCGGAAACGCAGCGGGCCGGAAAGGGGGTCGTAATCGGCGGTAAGAAACAGTATGTTTTGTTGATGCTGAAACAGTGAGGGGCTCAGATAAGGGTAGAGGCCCACCACGCCTCTCCCCATCTCCGCGACCACAGCGCAAGCCAGAGCATCCTAACGAACCCTAATCAAAGTGGAAGGTGCCGCTAGGCACAAGCCACGAACACGACGACCGTGAGACGGGCAAACCAAACGGAGACGAGCGCACGGGAGCACGCGAACGCCGAAGGCGAGGGTCTCGGATCATGTGAATACGCGGGAGGAAAACGGGGGCGGCGGAGCAGGCGTCACGGTCGCTTACCTCGAGCACCACGGCGGCGGAAGCGGAAGGCTGGACCCCGGCGGTGGGTGGAGGCGAGGCGGGGTTTCCGCGTACGAAGGGGGAACGAGAAGATGGGACGGGGAAGAAGGAAGGAGGAAGGGAAAGAGGCGATTTGGATTGGGGTCCTCGTACTCGGCTCGGCTCCGGCATTTTTTTTTTTTTTGAACACTCGGGTCGGGAAGTTTTTATTTTTTGAGAGTATCCCAGCGCCGCGCAGTGAAAGAGTTGATCGGAGCCCACAGAAACGGGTGGGCTCCCCGCTCCGCGTAGCTGCTCGGTCCTGTTTCCTGAATCGGGGTCTTCCCCTTTTTTTAAACCGGATTTATTCTGTATTATTTTCGGGGTATTTTGGTTTTTTATTTTAAGTTTTTTACTTTTAAAATCTCTTGATTTTTTAAATGGAATTTTTTTTGAATTTTGGGAAAACATTCAAATTATTAATTATTTAAAATTTTGGAATTTTCCTGAAAGTCAAGATTTGTTTTTCTAATTCATGAATATTTTTGAAATACGGAATTTTTTAAAATTTCAAGAACATTTTATGAAAGCCAGAAGCACTTTTTCAAATCTATGAATATTTTTAATATATTTTTTTGAACTTCGTGAATATTTTTTATAAATTCATACTATTTTTTAATCCTAAATTTTTTTGAGGAAAAATCCCAAACAATTTTTAAGCAACCAATTAACAGCAAAGAAAAACAATAAAAGAAAAAAGCAGGGGCACCCCGCCTCGTACATGTGCCGGCCCAAAAGCGCACGAGGGTGCTGGGGGTGCGCGTTCGGTGAGTATTTTCACCTACGCATGTAATAGGTACCCCGCCCTGATATCCCGTGCTACGCCACTTACAGCGCGATATGTGGCGCCTGAAGCTGATCGCAATGCACTGGCCCATCTAAGGCTATAGGGGAGAAGATCATCCCAGTTTTGCGAAGCTTCAGGTCATTTTTTTTGTTTGGTTTCTGGACCGTCATTTTTTTTCAAGCCATTTTTTATTTTTCTTTGTTCAAATGCGTGAACATTTTCCAAATTTCTCAACTTTTCTCAAATTTGTATTTTTTGTCAAATTCACAATCTTTTCCCCAAATTCATGAAATTATTCTATTTTATGTGTTTTTCAATTAGTTTTTTAAATTTGCAATATTTTTAAATTATGAAATTTTCCCTATTGTTTTTTTTACAAAATAGGAACTGTTTTCGAATTCATGAACTTTTTCATTTTCTCAGTTTTTCCAAATTTATGATCTTTTTCAAACTCGTGATCTTTTTTTGGTTTTGTTTTGTGAACTTCTTTCGAGTCAACTGGGCCACTGGTCAATGGTCGACCGATCAACTAGAATCGAAGCGAACCAGTGAACGAGTGAACCAGGCGGGCATAAGGCGCCAATTAGGAGCACTCTACGCCCTGTGCGTCAAATTGTATAACAGGTCTCCTATACGGGTCGTCCACTAGCACGACCCAATAAATCACATATTGTTTCTTGCATGTTTTTTTATTTTATTTAATATATTTTAAAGAAAATAATTAAAACCAGATAATAATAAAAAAATGTTTGCGTGCCTCAATGAAAATATTCATATATACAGAAACATTGTTGGTCTCATGTTTGTACAAAGATCTTCATGTGTTAAGGTTATACCAAAGTTATAAATGGTTGAAAACAGGAAAAGGAAAAAGAGAATGGAGATAAAATGTAGAAAGATTATACCTTAATGCTAAATTATTAGTTTTTACAAAATCAACATGTGTAGACTAGTTTCCCGACAGAAGTGCACCGGTAATACATTCCCAGTACTTTTGCTTTTAGGGGTGGAGTTTTCGTTCTAATCGTTATCCTGAGAAGGTAAGTGGGGAAGGACGTGATGTTTCCTAGCTTGAGTGAACAATAAAATCCAAAAAATTGAAAACAAATTCAAAAATTATGTTTTCTTTTGTGTCAAACATTGACAAATGTTCTAAGTTCTTGAAAAAATTCAATATTTTTTTATTGTTGAATAATGCCAAAAATAAAACAGAAATGGATTAGTTAATTCAGTAAAAGGATTACCTTGACTTAGGTCTGCCTCTGGTATAAATTAAATCATGGAATTCATGGCAATAAAAAAATCAATTATCAAAGCTGCTATTTTCAAAAGCGTTTTTGGAGTGCTTGATTCTTTTGCACGACTTCCACGAGTGGCATCCACGACGAGTGGCATCGAAAAGAGTTTTTGAATTTGTTTTCATTTTATTAGAAATTACGGTTCATCACAAGCCCATTTGAGCTCCGGAGCAGAAGAGGACTTTCGAGTGGAGAAGTATGTTTAGCGTGAGAGCGAACAAACTTTTTTTTCTTCTAAGAAATGCATGTGATGGGCATCTTATATCTAATAATTAACAAGGAAAACCGTAGTCAGTACAATGAAAAAGCTGAGCCGCCAACTCCTCGATGCGACGCACGCTTGCAATCTGGTAATCACTTTCCACTGATGTAACCACAAATCTTTGTAAATGGCATCCGACAATTGCGTGAAGTTGACATGCTCAATAACTAGCTTACTCCTAATAATATAGAGTGTCTAGAATAACACCCCAAAGCATAGCCAATGAAGACGACGATCGGTAATAGTGTGATTCCAATATTTTCGTAGTGGTCACGAAAGTTTGAAGGCCAACCATTTTATGAATGCAACTCCATGGGAGTTGAGTTGTGACACAAAAGAAAAATATATGATTAGAGCCCTCACCCACGTCACCCAAAAGGACACCGTCCATCTCCAAGACGGTTATGCT